CCTAATTACTTCCCCCCCAAACAAATTAAAAAAATAATAATTTAAAAAATTAAAATGGGAAAATACCAATTTGGAAGGATAATTTAAGTAAGTGATTCTACTTTTAGAAATTGTTAGCATTCTGTCTATTCATTTAGTATTTCTTGAGGCATTCTCTGTATTAACCTTTATACTGGGCACTGGTTTTACTCGTTCCTAAGGATGACAAACTCATATCTAGGTGATATAATCAGAAATGATCATCAAGAAGTCATTACTGAATACTGGAGATATCAGAGTTGAAGTTTTGGATAAGAATAATAAGATATCAATACCAAAGTCACATTTTTTTGAAATATGCATTGCTGGTAGGAATTTGGTATGCCTTATATGTAGCTAGCATTGGTCACAACTTAGGTCCTAATGAGGGTAGAGTAGGGACATAAATTACACTTCCTGGGAATAACTGGGTACACATAAAATAAGCTATTCAGAACTAAATGCCATTACAATGCAATATTCTCCTGAACTCATTTAATAAAGTCCAGTATTTAAAAAATACAACAGATTGCAATAGAGTACTCTTAGGACATGGCTAATTAAGCACAGAGTAATACAGATGACCCTGACCTTTGTGATTACACTTCATGCAGAATCACAGTTACGTCTGCATTTAGTTTGAAATCCATTCACACCCTTAATTCATGATTGAAATGTAGACATGTATCACAGATTGTCTCAGTACTGGTCAGTCTCCCTCAGACTTAATAGCCTAACCTGCACACAACTCCTTTCTGTTACTTGAACAAACCAGTCTTTTCTCCTGCCTCCAGATCATCAGTTTACATGTTTCCCCTGCGTAGGGTGCATTTTCCTCCATCTCTCCACGCAGATGGCTCCTTCATCTCCCAGCTTCAATTTCCTGCCCTCGTAGAGCCCTCCCACATGTGTATACATATCACTCCCTATCAGATCACCCTGTATTCCGTTTCTGCCCCTTAACACAATCGGGATTATTCAGTTTATTTGCTTGCTTGATAATTAACTAAATTTTTTGGTAGATTGTAAATTCTGTGACTAAAAAGCACCCTGACTAGTTTGTTCACCATTGTATCCCCATCACAGCACAGTCTGCACTAGCAGATACCTTCTTTACAAACGACTGAAGAAGGAAACGCTGTTCAGGCAACTGTTCAAAATAACCGCTATCTGTAAGGAGTAAGAGACTCAAGTTTGACGAGGAGATAACTTTGCTTGTTTCAGATAATAAGAAAAAAAATCAGAGTTAAAAGTGCATGCACATGAAGGTTTTGCAAACCATTGGATGTATTAAGAAATTATATTTAAACTTGGGCACTAAGGGTTCATAGTTAAAACTATAACTCTGCTGTGGTTAACTTAAACAATTTATGGGTTATATTGGAAGCTTATGGGAGTATCTCAGAGTACATAGGGCAAGAGTGCTGATGGGTTTCATGGGGACTGGGAACTAGGTGCTGAAAAGCTTTTTAGGTCCCAGGCAGCTTCTGCATGTATCTGCTTTTATTTACTCGGTATAGACTTCCTCTGCTTCTCAACCTTATGGAAAGCAGATTGTTACTCTGTAGCTCCTGTTTTGCTTTTCCTTTTAAGAGACCAGTTCCATTCCCAAATTCCCAACAAAGAGAATCTGCTTGCCCAGACTGAATTTGATTCAATCAGCAGAGGCCTGGAGGACGTGGTCACAAAGTGCAAACTGGAGTACCTGAGCTTATGTTGGAGGGTGAGGGAGCAGTGAAGAGGGTCATCTGTGGGCTTGTGGACCACACTACCAAAGATGTATATGTTCACTAGCCTGGAGAGGTGTGTGTGATATTTTTATTTTTAATTTTAAAAAGTAGATGATAAAACTTCATGTATAATAAGATCCCATTTTAGTAAAAGTGAATGTATAAGTATGTAAATACACATTTAAAAAATCCAAAAATACAGGTACTAAAATGCAAGCAGTGACTGTCTCTATATAGTAATATTACGTGGTTTTAATTTTTTCTTTATATCTTTAGTTTGAATTTTAATGTATAGAATCTGCATTTATTTTTTAAACCTTTTAGTACGAAAAACTTCAAACATACAGACAGAATAATATGATGAACTCAAGGACCCATTATCCGTCTTATTAAAACATGGCCACAAAAAATAACAACAACAAAAAACATGGCCAATCTTATTTCACATATTACTTTCCTTTCACCATCTAAATATTTTATAAAAAGTATATTTTATTTTATAATTAAAAATTAAAAATGTCTTTTAAAAAATAGATAATATTTGGCATATGTAATAACAACTTGAGAAAAAATTAAGAATCAAATTCATGCTTTATATTTGGACCAAAATAAATTCCAGATGAATTAGAAATTCAAATATTAAAAAAAAAAAAGAAACAGTGAGTACTAGAAGAAAATATAAGGAAACTTACTTGGTCTCCAGAGATTAGTAAGTTAAATAAAATGCAGCAGGAAAAACTACCGTATATAAAAGTTACTGTATACAAAATTAAAACACAAGTCAAAAGCCAGAAAAAATTTGCATTTTGTCAGAAAATAATGCAATAAGCAGAAGACAAATAATTGTAATGATAAATGGACAATAGACATGAACAGGCAAGTCCATAAAGGAGAAATTAAAGTGGCCAGTAAAATATGAAAAAAAGTTACTCTTACTAGTAATTGAACACAGACAAATAAAATAATAATGATGGATGATTATTCTCCTAAGAAATTGATAGAGAAGATATGGGAAAATAGCCTCTCTCATAAAGTATTGATGTGAATTGGCAAACCTTTTTCTTTTCTTCTAATTAAAGTATAATTGACTTACAATATATTAGTTTCAGGAGAAAAACCTTTCTTGAGGGCAGTTGACAACGCTATGAAAAGCCTTAGAATTTGGAATACCTTTGGCCTAATAATTACACTTAATAGGAATTTATCATGGCTACGCATAAAGATGCAGTTAAAAATGTTTTACCCCTGTACTGTTTATAATAGTGAAAAATAAGAAACGACCAGCATGCCCCAAAATAGACGATTGACATAATAATTTTTAAGGTTCTGATGTGTCTGTGCAATGGCATATTACACAATATTTTAAAAGAACGTAGAATAATACTTAGTGACATGTGAACATATATTTGACATCTTAAGTAAAAGTCAAACAAACTGAGAACAACTGGATGGCCACTAGAATACTAACTGTTTATTTTGGGGTGTTGATGAAGGCTGCCATTTATTTCTTTGCTTAGCTTATCTGTGATTTCTAAGCATGTATTTTGTAATAAGACAAAAAAAACTATTTTAAAAATAGTGATTGGTTTTAAGCAACAACTTGAAATATATATGCCTTAGTCCTTTCTAATGATGCTCTGTGTATACGGATTTACTGACTTATTTAAAGATTCTCCACAGAAAAAAAACTGTCCAGTGAAAGAAACTGAGGAAGTGGGTGGGTTGTGTGAATTAGGTTTATAGGCTGAAGTAAGTGCGATACTAAAAAGATAGCTGTCATTAGAAAACTTAGTGCTAAGACACCTGTTTTTGTTTTAACGTAGTTTTAAAAGTTGCATTTATTAATATATAATCTGATTATTTGGCAAGAAAGGCTGTGCTGCTGTGGTTTTAAGACTTAGAATTGTTACTGAGAGAATAGTAGAAATAGGAGCAACTGAATCTAAATGCTTTTTTGTTGTTGTTGTTCTGAAAAAATTAGCTAAATAAGGAAACCAAGGTGTTGAAAAATCAGTGGGAAATATTGCTTATGGCAGATGTGTTTATTTCTATGTCATTGTTTTAAAAAAATCTTTCCTGTAGATATCAAAATAAGAATTTGCTACTCTGAAAAGCAGTTGGTTATGATAAATTTTGACTATTAAGGAAGGTAGGTAATCTTTGGAAAAATTTTGTTTAAAATTATCTCCTTATTGCCTCAATACAACATTCATATTTTGCCTCTTTATACCCAAATTCCTTAATGTGATAAAAGACGTATTTAATTGATTTAATCAGGTCAATCTATTTGTGATTATGAGCCTAGATTATTTCCCTTTTGGTAACTTTCTGGTTTTGTTTGTTTGTTTAAGATTATCTTTGGGAATTTAAGTATCTTTTTGTTCAGCGCAATTGCATCCTAGAAAACCTAGAGTTGCATACAACAGCGTGGTCATCCTGTGAGTGCCTGTTTGATGATGATGTAAGGGCCATTACATTTAAAGCAAAGTTCCAAAGAAGCACACCCTCCTTTGTGAAGATGTCAGATTTAGCAACACACCTAGAAGATAAGCATTCAGGTGAGATCTTTATAAACATAAGATACTGCTAGTTTTAATATAAGCAAAGAAGCTACCATTTGTGGGAAAAAAATGCATAATTGAATATAAAAGTGAAATGTAGATCCTTGTAAATAGCTGAAGCAGATCTTGGCATCTTCCTAGCTTTTTGCCTCAATCCTTTGAGGTTAATTTGTAATTATTAGGGATTACTTAAGAATATTTTTTGCATATAGTTACAAACAGCTTATCATGTAATAAACCAGGAATAGAAAAATGACCCTAACCAGAGTCACTATTGAGATATACTAAGCTATCATCTATACACGATTGTTAAAATTTAACACTGATGGAGAGTTTGTGGAATTTACTCACTGCTTAGTATAATGTAATATACTTCCTGAACTCAGATGTGTGTGTGTGTTTATAAATTTCATTTTCAGAAGCTTAGTACATAGAAGAATGCTTTCGATGATGAGTTTTGTAAACACACTCACACAATTTCCATGAACTAAATGTAATTAAAGTAATTTATTTTGAGTGAAGAAGTAAAGGGGGTATGTTTTAGGAATGAAGAGAGAGTGAAATAGTGAAAATAACTAGACAAATTGCTACCATTTTAGTGGGAAATACTTTTCACTAAATCACATTGGCTTCCTAACTACAGAGATGATGATAAAAAAAGATGCTAACTCCTGGTTGAGGGTATAACAAACTACACAGCATTTAAAGATACATTTAAGGTTGCTGAATCCCAGTAATTAGTAAATGTCAGTGATTAGCAGTTTTGGAAACTGATAAAATTTTCCAGTGGCTTTTATAGCAAATGTATTTAGAGGGCAAATAAGGGTTGAAAAAAAATGAGATGTATCTGTAGGTTTATTGTTACGTAATTTAAATTTTTTAATGAAGAAGATTTGCCCAAAAATTTTCTTCTGAATTTGTATAAGATAATTATTCTTGGTGCTTATGTAGGTTGAATTATTAAGAATAACTCAGGAACTTTGGATCTTGACACTGAATTTTAGCTGTATTCACTCATTTTCATAAATAATTTTCTGAACTCTTATAGATGGTTTTAGATTTTACTAAGTGCTAGATGTGGTTTAAGTGAAATAAGATTATTTTTAGTTTTTCTAATGAAAAAAATCTGGTCCCAAAATAGGTTGAAGCTCCTAAGAGATTCATGGTAAGATTCTCAGCTGTATTTCTGGGCTTTTTCACTAGCATGCTATGCCCCCTTTTGGTTTATTCACAGAAATGGAAGAGTTGTGGAATATGCAGTTAATAGGATATTTCAGAGTTAGTGCTTTTCAAGTGTGGCTCAGAGTGTCAGATTTTTAAAAATTTTAACAAGGTTTTTGGAGTATAATTTTCATACGGGAAACCACCCTTATTTTTTAAGTGTGCACATTCACACTGGTGAGGTTTTACATGAAACCCGTGAAACCATCACAGTCATGAAACTGTCACCTGCCCCTTTGTAATCTCTTCCTTCCCCTCATCCCTGCCCTGGGAATCCTTTCAAGTAATCAGTCTGCTTTCTCTCACTAGACATTAGCTTGAATTTCCTGTGATTTTACATACATGGAATCATGCAGCATGTACACTGTTTTGTTTGGCATCCTTGAACTTAACAGATTCTTTGAGATGTATCTACATGGTTATGCATATCAGTAGTTCATTCCTTTCTAGTCTCTTACATGAATACACCACGATTTGTTTACCTGTTCAACTGTGGATGGACATCTGTGTTGTTTCCAGTTCTTGGCTATTATAAATAAAGCTTCAAACTTTGAATGAATAAACATTCAAGTACAAGGCATTATATGGACATAGTCTTTCTTTTCTCGTCAGTAAGTACCTAGGAATTGAGTCAAAAGCTGGATTATATGGTAGGCATATGTTTAACTTCTAAAGAAACTGCCAAACCGTTTTCCAAAGCAGTTGTACCGTTTTGCATTTCCACCAGCAGTGTATGAGAGTTCTGTTTTTTTCCACACCCGCCTCAACACTTGATATGGACATTCTTTTTAGTTTCGTCCGTTAGAAAAGTGTTTAGTGATAGGTCATTGCGGTTTTCACTTGCATTTCCTTATTGGCTGATGGTGTTGAACATTTTTTATGTACTTAATTGCCATCCATGTATCTTCTTTGATGAAGTGTCAGTTGAAGTCTTTCGCTTACCTAAAAAAAATTTGGGTAGATTATTCTACTGACTTTTGAGAGTTTTTTATATTCTGGGTAATACACTCTTTGCAAATACATTGCTTCTCTTTCTCTTGTCTTTGCCCTAGTCTGTTATTTGTCTTTTCATTCTTTTAACCAGGTCTTTTGAAGGGCACAAGTTTTAAATGTTAATGAAGTCCAGTTTATCCATTTGTTCTTATATGAATTGTACTTTTGGCATCTTTTCTAGGAGATCTTTGCGTAACCCAGTGTCACAAAAATTTATCTCCTCTATTATTCTGAAAGTTTTGGAGTTTTAGATTTTAAATTTGGGCTTATGATCTTTTTTGAGTTAATTTTTGTATATAGTGTGAGGTATGGCTCAAAGTTGTTTTTCTTTTAGTGTATGAATATCCAGTTGTTCAACCATCAGTTTTTGAAAAGATTATTATTTTTCCAGTGAATTGCCTTTGCACCTTTGTCAAAATTATTTGTCCACACGTGTGGTCTGTTTCTGGGCTTTCTCTTCTGTTTTATCCATCTATTTGTTTCTCTTTCCACCAATACCACACTATTGATTACTGTAGCTTTATAATAAGTTTTGTGAATGAAAAATACTGCAAACCATATCAGTAAACAAAGAATGCTGAAGCCATCAAGTCATCAGCGGCTGCTGCCACCCCCGAGTGAAGACAAGCCTGCAGCCCAGCCTCTGCAGCCACTCACAGTGGTGCACTCTGAGGGGACTCAGAATAAGAAAGGACAGGATACTGGCCCTAGATAGCTAGGTGCTTATCAAGGGAATGAGTTCAATGAGCCCAAATGTTTGCTTCCTCCCATACATAGAAAAGCGCTAAATTCTTTAACTTGAGATGCCTGGTTTTCTTTAGTTAACAAATAATCTTTTAATGTTCCAACTACCTGGTCTTTGTTGTAAAACTCCTATATATCCTAGCTCCTCCCTTCCTCTTCGGAGCAGTCCCTCAGAGCCATCTGAGAGGCTGTCATGCCGGGCTCCAAGGGGTTCGAGTCCTCAGAAATGTCCACCAAATAAAACATTACTCTCGACTTCTAGGCTGCGCATTTATTTCAGTCGAGAAAGCTATACAGTCTAGGGTAGATACTGAAGCCATAAGTGAGTAAGACTGTCCAGGAAAGGAGTGGAGACAAGACCAAGAACTAGGCGTCAAGTGTATACTTTCCTCTAAGTAACTGTGAATCAACTGTATAGTTAACCATGTTTGTAAGTTACAGTTACAGTTTTGGCCTCCTAATTTATTGTCTTTCTTTTTGTTTGTCTTTTATAGGAGTGATTCTAATCAAAGCCCAGATTTTAGAGCTCGTGTTTCCTATTACAGCCTCTCAGAAGATAATTCTAAATGCTCACAGTTCTCTGGAGAGTATTTATTCTTCTCTTCCCAATATTCTTTACACTGGCTGTGCAAAATGTGGATTGGAACTAGAAACAGATGAGAACAAGATCTACAGACAGTGTTTCAGCTGCTTGCCATTTACTGTGAGGAAAATACACTATAGGTAAGGCAACTAACCCAGGCTGTTGGATGGAAAACACTCATTATTATAGGACTAGAAATGACCAAAGAATTACATATATCAGTTCTTTTTCTAATGAGAACTAACTAAAGCTAACCTAAGAGAATAAATTTTTCCTCCTGAGTGATAAATACCTACTTACGAAAGCAAAATTTTTCCAGTTATCATAACAGGAATTTTTAAAAAACAGTAATTGGGAGATTTTATTGCCTTTAAGCAGCTATACTGAAGAAAACTTTTCCTTGGTTTCCATAGTATGGACGTGGCACATTTTATTTATCCATTCATTAATTGATGGGCATATGGATTGTTCCCACTTTTTGGCTATTACAAATAATACTGCTCTGAACATTCACGTACACATTTTTGTGTGGACATGTGTTCTCATTTCCCTTGGGTGTACACTCAGGGGTAAAATTGCTAGGTTGTGTGGTACTGTATGTTTAACCTTTGGAGGAACTGCCAAACTGGTTTCCAAAGCTGCTGCATAATTTTACATTCTCACCAGCAACATGTGAGACTTGCAGTTTCTCCACATCCTTGTCAACACTTTCTATTATCTGTTTTTCTTTTTGTTGCTTGTACTTTTGGCACCATATCTAAGAGAGGTATCGTTCCTAAGCTAAGATCATGCAGATTTATTCCAATATTTTCTTCTAAGAATTTTATAACTTTAGCTCTTACATATAGGTCCATCATCTATCTTGAGTTAATTTTTGTGTATGGTGTAAGGAAGGGGTCCGACTTCATTCTTCTGCATGTGGATATTCAGTTGTCCCAGCACAACTGGTTGAAAAGACTATTCTATCCCCATTGAATCACCTTGGTACCATCATTGAATAACTTACTTTCTATCCCACTAAACTCTTAAATTCCTTGAGTAAAGGAACAAGATCTGTCTTATTCACTAGTGTGCACTCAGTGTTTTGCTCATTGCATGGTGCATATACATATTGAGGATGTATTTGTTGAAATAGAGGATAGAGGAAGAAGGAGAGCCCAGGGAAAGAGAAGAGGAAAGGACATAGGATCATCAGGTGGATAAAGGGGAAGTAGGTTTTTGGAGGGAAAATCAGTAGTCATGTTTTAGCTGTTATGCTAAATTCCCCTGCATTCGTGAGTCTTCCCAAATTCTGTTCTCAATTTATTTTTAATAATTAATTTATTTTTAAAGGAGTTTCTTTTAAAAGTATATAGATAGAATAATATTATTCATATAGTTCTGTTCATGTTATTTGCCCCTTACAGTATATCATGGCATTCCTTCCCTAATAGCACTTGTAAGTCTTCTTCATTTATTTTAACAGCCACATAGTATTCCATTGCATGATGGACTGAAATTAGTTATCTAGTTCCCTGTTTATTGGCACGCAAAACAGTTCTTTTTTAAACATTCAATTTTGTCATTTTATTTAGATAGGGTAACCAAAATCACAGAAGATTGAGTTATAAATGAAAATGACAATTTATTGGTGCAAACTTCATAATCTGTATACACCTCAGAAGGAAAATTTACTGGAGATATCAAGTTAATATGAAAGTGTGCTTTGCTTGTTACAATTAGAGAAAATAAAATTTAAAAGCACAGAAGAATTTTGATATCAAATTATAATGTACAGTACAGTTTTAATATTCCAAATCAACTAATGCAAAACGGCTTGTTTTTGGTAAGAAAGACTCCTGTGGGAAAAAATAGCTTGAAGTTGTGACTATGAAATATGTGATTATCATTTTTATTTGCTTTCCAAAAATAACTTACACAGCAGTGTAAACCAATGTTTTCTTATATTAGTATCTGAAAATTTAAAATGAGTATGGAATAAATAACATTTATTAATGTATCACTTGAAACTCTTTTTTAAAAAGCCCTTCTATTTCTAGGATGTTTCAGAACATCCTCAAGTTGTTTTAGTCATTAAAATTAGCCCTGCATTAAAAACCCAGTGATGTTTGAAATTATACTGCATTTAAACATTCCTTTAATTGGAGATCTTTTTGAAGGACATGTGCTGTTTACTCTTTTGTAGGCCAGCTTTAATGACCATAGTTGATGGAATATATAAGGTTTGCGTCCACGTAGGATCAAAGCTGGTGGAGAAGATTCTTCTCAACATTTCTCCTGACTGGCTCAACAGAGTTATAGGTAAGATACCAGCGTGCCCTCGAGAGGTTGGTTCTTCGTAAAACCACTTATTTCAGGAGTATAGACAGTATATTGGAACAGAAGGAACACTATGCTGCTAACTAAGCATTTTTCTGTCAGTGCAAAAGCAGAATTTAGCTTGAGTGAAACACAAGACTAAGTCAGTCGGAAGGCAGGACTTGCTCTACACCTGTCTCAGCGCATGACGAGAGGGAAGTAAGTGCCTGATCCCCTTCTTACTCTAAATTCCCAATCAGTAAGCAAAAACACTAGGACCTTAGTTTTAGAATAGTTAAGTAAACGAATGTGGGACACCTGTCCATGTATGAAGATTGTCCAGTGTTGGTAGAGTGGATTCACAGGATCTTCAGCTCTGTTGGGAGGTGTGGTCAGTGACTGACCAGGAAGTGAGGGTAACGCATTTGTCAGATGATCAAACGCCATCCTTTCCACATTAGTCTTAGACTCTCTAAGCAGAAGAGTTAATCTGGTTCAGTTGATTTGCTCTGTCTCGTAATAATGGATTTTTTTTCTTGCTTTAGTTTTTGCTTGAATGCTGAACATTGCACATAGAGTAATACAAACTGAGGTAAAGAGTATTTGTCCCTGGAAACGGGCACTCCTGTTTTCCTAGACCTTTACTAGGGGTGGGGGTGGGTGGAGGGTGGCAGGCAGAGTTAATCTTGTCAGACCAAGTTGGCTTTGAGGTTTTTTATTGCCATGATTACCTTTAGGTCACCACGGACTTCAGATTATCCAACATTATCTTGTGCTCATGGTGGGGAGTGGTTTTCCAGAGATTTTTCCCCAATAATCCTGTCTCACCATCCGCTTTATCCCTTCACTCTGCACCTGGGCCTCAGAGACAGTTTCTCTTTGTGTTCTTTTACATCTCGAGACTGTTCAGGCTCTGTTGGTTGATATTCGGTGCATCTTAGCCTGCAGGGAGGGGCAGGAGTGATTCTCTTTGACTCTGGTCCAGCCTTGGTCTTACGCAGGCCCTGGGTCTCTGGGTCTCGGATGGGGTGCTTTCTCAGCGACCCTGCCCCTCCAGCCATGGCAGCAAGCTCTGCCTTGTGCCTTTGGTGGGGCTTGTGTGGTCCTGCCCCTTCCTCAGGGATGTTCCTTTTGTCTTTCCTCCTCTCTCCTCTTCACCTATAGCCGGGGCAAGATGAAGGCTTTTGTTCCTTAAGGTGGTCGTGCTGAGTGGTGGTTTGTGCTTTTCCTTGGGGCAGCTTCTCCCCTTCTCTGGACGCTTTCTCTTATGTCCTGTCCTGTGTCCAGCCTTGCGAGCACCTGGTGGGGTGAGAGGAGCCAGCAAGGCCGCACACGGCGCTGGGCCATGCTCGGCTTTTAGAAACTCATCCAAACTTCAAGCACATTCTTCATTCTTGCTTGTTTGATGGACTGCCTTCTTTCTGAGCTCGACCTGCCCGAAAACCCGTGCTCCTGTTCTGTCTCTCCTTTCACTGTGGTCTTGGCAGCTGCACAGCCTTGGCTCACTTGTAGGTTCAAGAAGATTGTGATTTTGTAGCTTTTTCAGCTTTTTCTAATCATTGTTAGGGTAAGAGCCACTCTCTTCCCAGTTTTCTACGTCCTAATTAGAAGCCTCTCTGTTCTTTTTTATTCACTTTGTTAATTTTCATTCTTTCTGCTGTTTTCATTGCTTTTCTTGGTATTCTTTCTCGTATTTTCGGCCTTTTCATTTTTTGTATAATGTCATTCTTGATTTCTCAGAGACTCATCATTCTCCAGTCAAGTATACATCTGTGTTTTGCCCATTCCCAAGAGAATTCAAGTCATACTTCTTGGTGTTAATTAAATTGTAACCATAAGTGAAATTGTGGGTCCCAATTATAGTGTTCATCAGATCATTCAGATTATCACTAACCTTGATTTTTTTTCAGCTTATGAAAGTGAAAAATACAAACATTTTAAGTTTTGTGGGGAATCCTTACCCCTCCACCGACATGTCATTGGCCCTCCCAGAGTCTGTAGACCCAGTCCAAGGAAGGCTGATGGTGTTGGTCAGGGAACTGGTATAGTATGAACACAGTTGATAATAGTGCACTGTCAGTCTAGTATTGGGCATCCTGCTAAATGACTTGATTAGATGTCCTAAAACAATGAGAGGGAGAGTATAGTTTTACTGAACACAGTGCTGTGCCAGACGCACAGTGGGACCACACAAACTGAAACACTGGAGTTTGGAGCAGAGAAAGGCTTACTGTGGGACCCAGTAAGGAGAATGGGTGGCTCATGATCAAAAATCCTGAACTCCCCAGTGGTTTTTGAGGAGGAACTCTTATAGGCAAAATTTGGAGTGAGGGCTGCAGGATGTGTGACTGTCTTCTGATTGGTTGGTGGTGAGGAAACTGGGCAGTGTCCCAGGAATGTTGTGCTCAGCCCGAAGTTGCCATCCTGCACCTGGGTGGGGGCCTTAGTTTCCTGCAGAAGAACTCATAGATATGGTTATGTGTATCCCCTGAGGAGGAACCAGAATCCTGCTTTAATAGCTGCACTATAGTTTCCTGATCCCACCTCCTTTGTTTCCGTGTTCCCTTACTTCTCTGATTAGCAACCGTTTGAATCTGCCCTTTGGAACTCTGGGAGGTCCAGGAGGCTGAAGCCCTTATCCCGCGAATAAGAAACAGACACAGAAAGGCTTTTGTGCCCAGGAGATCCCCACAGGGTCCTACTCGGTTTCAATAGGACAAATGCAGAATATAATGACATATCTATCTATCATTTCAGTATTTTTATATAATCAAGATTTGACATTCATTAAGTAACAGATTCAGGGTTCTATTATATGAACAATAAATATAATGTATATATAACTATGATAAGAGCTATAGACTGGATAAATATAAGTACTTTTCTGAAGTGGACACACTCGTTTTGTTTCAGGCTTAATTTAGGAAAATATAAATTGCAGTTCTTCCTTCTATCATTTGAAGAAGCCAACAGCTGTGCCATCATAGGAAGTGCCGTCAGTCTGAGCGGTGCATTATCTGTGCCTTCTCTCCAGATCAGCGGGAATTGTGTGCCAGCATTCCAGAGTAACCTGTGACTAGAAAGAGCAGGCATAGAAAGAGACATTCACAGTGGCTTAGGGACTTGAGAAACCAAGGGCAACGACCCACCGTTAAGTGTGAGCCTTTTCGTCCTGGAAGGGCTGCTAAGAGCTGTGCTTGTTTCCTTCTTCCTCAGCCCCGCCCTCAGAGGTGACCTACCGCATGGTCGCAGCGGACCTGCTCCATTCCTTGTTGGCAGGCAGCGGGGCACCTTGGGTCCTGAAGATGCAGAGCCTCTTTGTCTTAGATGAAAACAGCTACCCACTGCAACAGGACTTCTCCCTCCTTGATCTTTATCCTGACGACGTGAAGCCCGCATCCCCGGCTCTCCTCTGAGCCCAGATGAGGGAACAGCAGGCACTTGAAGGAAGAGTACTGAGATGATCTGTCTTTCCAAATGAATGACAGGGCTTTCCCTCAGGGTTTTAAAATAAGTATATTTTATAAAGAGAATTGTGTTAAATATATTAATTAAAAAATCCCCCCCCCTAAGAAAATTGTGAGGTTTTTTTGTTTGTTTGGTTTTGGGGCTTTCCCTTTCTCTCTTCTAGAGAAATGATCGAGCAATAAAGGCAACACGTTAAATTTCATTGGGAATTGAAGAATCACTCTGTTCAGTACCTCCATTCCGAAGCACTGCGACGCAGAGCTGAGCGTTTACTCAGGAATTGCTTTTCTGCTCTGCTCACAAACTCAAAATGCTCTCCTTATTCCAACTTTAATAAACTACAGACTCAAAAGGATTTCCTTAATCACAACTTTATATGGCCATAGTTCACATAAGCCTACGTTTAGGCAAGTTCCAGATGAGTACGTCTTTCCATAAAGAAGCGCTGAAAATGAAGGAAACGTGATTGTGTTTCAGCTCGTCGTCAGGGGAGGCAGAGAGTCATACTGTTAGTTGATTTCTAGGAGTTGCGTGCCTCACTGAATTTACTTTTCCAGCAACCACTTAGCAGTTAGTCTCTCATTATGACTGTCGCAGCAGCTCCCAGAAGATGGTAGTCACCAGGGAGGAAACGGGGCAATACTTAACTTGGAAGTTTGGAGTATGCCGAGCGTTAACAGATCGGTAATATTGCTTGAACATGACAAAATTCATAATATTTACTAGGTGTATTTTTAACAAAATTCTTTTGGGTCATTGAAATTGTTTTCTCTAATTGAAGCTTCTTTTTTTTTTTTAAACCTGGTTTCCCTAAAAATGAACCTCAGGAGTTTTGTGATTCTCATCAAAACAATATGCAGAAAAGGTTGTAGAAGAACCTTTTTCTATGGAGAAGGGTCTGTAGCTTGTAACAAAACCCCAGAGGGATCTTTGACAGGAGCGAAAAAAAAAAAAAGAAAGAAAGAAAAAGAAAAAGGGTAGGAACCAACCAGTGCTTTAACCAACCAGTGCTTTATAAGTAAGTAAGTTAATTCATGGGGAGGGTAAGGGGATTAGGTCAAATGATTGCCAAGGTTTTATCTAGCACCTGATAAGGGGAGCAGAAAGTTGGCTCAAGTGTGTATCTAGAGGTACTGGAATATGACTAATGTGTCAGTTTCTGGGGTACAGCATAATGTTTCAGTCATACATGTATGTACATATATTCATTTTCATATTCTTTTTCGTTGTAGGTTATGACAAGATATTGAATATAGTTCCCTGTGCTATACAGTAGCAACTTGTTGTTTATCTGTTTTATATATAGCAGTTAATATCTGCAGATCTCGAACTCCCAGTTTATCCTTTCCCGCTCCCTTTCCCCCCTGGTAACCGTAAGTTTGTTTTCTATGTCTGTAAGTGTTTCTATTTTGTAAATAAGTTCATTTGTGTCCATTTTTTAGATTCCACATGTAAGTGATGTCATATGATATTTTGCTTTCTCTTTCTGGCTTAACTTCACTTAGAATGATGATCTCCAGGTCCATCCATGTTGCTGCAAATGACATTATTTCATTCTTTTTATGGCTAAGTGGCATTCCATTGTATAAATATACCACATCTTCTTTATCCAGTCATCTGCCAATGGACATTTAGGCTGTTTCCATGTCTTGGCTGTAGTAAATAGTGCTGCTGTGAACATTGGGGTGCATGTATCTTTTTGAATTAAGGTTTCCTCTGGATATATGCCAGGATTGGGATTGCTGGATTATATGGTAAGTCTATTTTTAGTTTTTTGAGGAACCTCCATACTGTTTTCCATAATGGCTGCACCAAACTACATTCCCACCAACAGTGTGGGAAGGTTCTCTTTTCTCCACACCCTCTCCAGTATTTATTATTTGTGGACTTTTAAATGATGGCCATTCTGACTAGTATGAGGTGATACCTCTTTGTAGTTCTGATTTGCTATTGTCTGATAATTAGTGATATTGAGCATTTTTCATGTGCCTATTGGCCATTTGTATGTCTTCATTGAAGAATTGCTTGTTTAGGTCCTCTGCCCATTTTTGGATTGGGTTGTTTAGTTGTTGTTATTAAGTTGTATGAGCCGTTTATGTATTCTGGAAGTTAAGCCCTTGTGAGTCGCATCATTTGCAAATATTTTCTCCCATTTCATAGGTTGTCTTTTTGTTCTGTTTATGGTTTCCTTTGCTGTACAAAAGCTTAAAAGTTTAATTAGGTCCCATTTGCTTTTGAATGCTTGCTTTCTGATTCTCTACATAAACTTAAAAGAAAACAAAATAAAAAAGCCTAGAGGGTTTAAGGCTGCATAGTGAGGTAGGAAAAGCAAGGAAGTGATTGCCATAAAAATCAGGTTAGTGGATATTTTGGTGGTGAGGGAGAGGTAGTGTTTGGGAGCCCGCATAGGAAGATTCTGGGAAGGCTGGTTTACCAGTTACCAATTTCTTCCTAAGTCCAAATTCATTCTTCAATATGTGTTCTGCAGACAGACGGATTCCCTCACGTGTCCCTCCTTCGCAGTGAGTACGATGCTGAACAGTAGAGGGCACTAGAGACACACGAGGGAGGCCGGAGCTTTTCTTGCCAGTTCCAGTAGCACGTCAGTCCGGACATGGGTGCGGGGACACCAGGTGGCGCTCTGTTCCGGCCACATTTCCTGAACGCGCTGGCCCTCTACCAGCCAGCATCCCTGGTGTGGCCAGTCAGTCATGTTCCCCTGGCCCTCCTGATGAGCAGACCACCAGCTCCAGGCCCCCATCCAGTCTGTACCGGGACGACACCATCCCACCATCATCCACTCCCTGCAAGTTTGTCTCATCAGATTTGTCAATCAGCAAACCGAAAAAAAGCATATCATCCAAAACAAAGGGCAGATAGGAGTCAAATCTGGTCACTTGCTGGATTTTACTTCATCAGTGGAGGTGAACAGATAATTTACACAGACAGAAGGACTGAGAGGGAAGAAGGGAGAAAGACAGGTACGAGAGACCGAGAAAAGCACATGCTCACTAGCAACTAAAGATGCACAAACAGAAGCGGCTCTAGGCACTTAGGTCCTTTAATGGACACCAGGCTGTGGGACTGCGACAGCACCGCACGTTCTCTCTTTTTCGTGGTCTCTCTGGCAATGTGTAATAACGATTCCATTTTTAGACATCCGGAATCTGATCCAAATTCCAGCTTCACCACTTCCTAGTTCTGGGGCCTGAGAAGTGGCGATGCGCACTTTCCTCATTGCTAAGAGTGGGGAAGTAAAAGGGTGATTTGAGCAAATAATTCCATACTTTAAAATTAGGGGAAAAACCGTATTAGGCAGATAGTCCAATCTGTCTTCATGAGGGCACACTAAATTCAATTAAGAAATACATCCATTATGTGGAAAGAGCCAGGCTCATGGAATGTAATCAGCAAACTACTTCATCTTTTTTTTTTTTTTCCCAGTGACCCATTCAAACCTGCTTGGAAGGTTTATCCAAAGGACCCTGTCCTTTGGATAAAATCTAGGGCAAGTCCCATGACTTTTTGATCACTCTTGTGCAACAACACATTTTTCCTGTAACTTCTAGTTGCAAAACCAGACCAAGTGTTCAGCACTTGAAATGTCCAATCTCATGTAGTGGTCCAAACCTCCAACTTCATTTAAAGTTTACACTTCCCTTTCCCTCCTGCCCTCACCTGGGCTCCTGCCGAAAGCAGACAGCAGCAGGAAATGGGCACAGAGCCCTGTTTTCCTGTTTTTCCACCTCGTGCTTCCACTCCTCCTTCTCCACCTTGCTAACAGGGATTCCTGAGCATCTGCACAGGGGCAGAAACGGGGTACAGGAAGGAGGCCACCTAAGGGGCAGGAGAGGTCCCACGTGACCAGTTATGAGCTGGAGTACTCACATGGGTTTTTCAAGAGCCTCCTGTTTCTGCAGGTTCCTGTGACTCACATTTGCCCCAGAGAGCAGGTTGGCACACAGCACCATCCCCTTCCCCTGTAAGGGTCTTTATATTACATTTTCTGGAAATGGAAGTCTAGAAATTATGTTTTCCAGACACTCTTACAGACAGGGTTCCAGGTTGAGTTTGCCAAATGTGAGGCCCTTGGGTGAGACTAGAAAGCAGAAAGAAGGTTAAAAAATTTGTTTCTTCCTTTGACTCTCACTTATATGACAGCAGGATGCTCAAGGCTCTTGCAGTAATTTGAGCAAAGAATTTGTGCAAATCCCAGCCAGTCATCACTATGGGATACCTAACAGGCAGCACTGGCTTCGAGACCTGGCAGCAGTTATGTGGCAGTGAGGTCTTCTCCTTAGGGACTGCACTTGCCTGAGAAGGCCAAGCACAGGCCTTGGAGTCCCCCATTTCTAGGACACTTCAATACAGTATAGTGAATTATCACCCCAATCCTTAACCCCTCCTTGTAGCTGTGTCCATTGCCATGGTGCTCTATAGTGCCTCTCACAAAAAAGGTGTAGTTTACCACCCTGCCCCATGATTTTGAACTTGGCCACACCACTTACTTCAGCCAGTGGGATATTGGAGACACAACACAAGCAGAGGGTAGAAATGTGTTTGCCCTTCTTCTGCCTTTCCCATGAACAGAGCTTTCCCTGGGTAGCTGCCACCTGTTCAGTGGGTGCTCAGAATGAACAAAGTTGGAGCAGACCTGGGGGAGGACCTGAGCCTGACCGGGCTCACAGCTTGAAATGAGTTGCCTAACCTAGATCAGCCCATACTCAACTGACCCACAGATGTGTGAGAAATAAATGTGAATTTTAGTACAACACTGAGATGTTGAGATTGTTTGTTATGCACCACTATTACAAAAGTAGCTAACTGATACAAGCAACTTTTTCTCCTTTTAGCTTTATCAGTCTCCCAAGAAGGCTATGTAACTTGTGTCATCAAATTCACTGTATAAAATCACTCTTTGCCCAAGAATTCTTTTTCTGGGAGGAGAATTCTGAGAAAATAATTGTTTTTCTGCTTGAGACAGAACTATGTTCACACTGAGAGCAACTAGAAAACCTGAATAAAATACAGAAAACCTCTTTGCTGAAGAGCTGCCCAGTTGACTAGCATTTGGTGGGCTGTGATCTCAGAAGAAGGAAAATGCAAGGAGTTGGGCTGACATTCTGTAAAACACTTTTCCCTTCAGGAAACTGGCTGATTCTAGTGAAGAGGCTGAGTGTTTGGACAGAGAGCCATGGCTAAGAGTTGGAAAAGGCAGTAGAGTCTCTGGAGCTGCAGGAACAAGACATTGGAGTTTGGAGTTGCCAAGGCAGCTGGGACTGGAGGAGCTAAGATGTCAGATAAAAGGGAGACACACAAAAGTAACTCTGAAACTCGAATAACATTTTCAAACTACTAAGAGAAAAGGAACTGTCAGCCTGGAATTCTATATCCACAAAAATATCCTTTAAAAATGAATTTGAAATAGACATTTCTCAAAAACTGAGAGAACTTGCTGCCAGCAAATCTGCCCTAGAAAAATACTAAAGACAGTCCTTTGGATAGAAGGAAAATGATCTCAGGTAGAATCCCAGAAATGCAGGAAAATAATAAAAAGCAAGAGAACGATTAAACACGTGGTGAATATAAATGAGTATTTGAACACAGTGAAATTAGTCATGTCTTGTTAGGTGTAAAATATACGTGGAATTGGGGGGAAGGATACAGCTCATGCTTAGCAAGCACAAGGTGCTGGGTTCAATCCACCATCAAAAAAAAAAAAGACTAAAATATATTTTTAAATATTTAATTATTTAAAATATACTTTTTAAAAAAGCTGAAGTATTTTATTAATAATTTGTTGTCAGTAAGAAAGGCTAGCTAATAGTAGTTTTCAATGGTAGTCTGTAGACAGTGGCCAACCCAATACAGCATCTCCCTCCTCCCCATCAGAGCAGAGAGCCTGCCAGTCTCTTGCCACTGAGATTTTTTAACTGTCAAACATACAAGTCCATGCAAAGGGGATACTTACCAACTTTTCCAAGTGGCCCTGGAAAGGCATGAACCTTCCTTTGAGATATGGAGATGGTTGGCACCTATGGTCTCAGGATTCCAGGTGAAAAGGGAACAGTTCCGTTTTAGTAGCTGGCTATACAAACACATAGAGAATGCCTATTACATGTGTGCTCTGACACTATTAGAAATTCCTGGAGTGTGGACTACATTGAAAACGTGCACATGAAATAAGTATGGAAAAGCAAACACAAAGTACTGCATACGGACCACTGTCGGGCAAAGCTTGTATCAGTGCATTGACAGAGATTGAAAGTGCCATCAAAGAGGCACAGACCGAGGGCACAGTCACTACATTCTCTTGCTGAACTTGTTTCACTGTGTAAGAAAAGAGATGATACTGTTTTAAGTATTGCTTTACTTATACAGTAATGGGGCTTGAATCTGCAAGTTCAGTAGCACAGAGGTGATAACACCAACTGCCCATTAAGTAACGGTGACCAACGCAAGGGCTGCCGGTGACCTTGAGTACAGCTTTATGGGGAGTTGATGACGGTGGTTTGTGGGAACTTCCATCTTCATCAATTTTACACCGACACCTACCACAACACAGTAATCATGATGGAATGCCTAGGTTTACAAAGAAAAGCTCTCAGCTCTGCGGGCCCTGCTTTGGCTGCGAGCTTTCACCATTTCTTGCCTAAAGTGAGAGCCCCAGGAGCTGAACGCTAACCTGGGAGACACAGAAATCGGCAGCAGACCAGCGGTGTGAGGTCTTGGGGAGGGTAGGCTAGGGGCAAGATTTGACATGATATGGGGCAGGATTAGACATAGCCCTGGGGAGGGACCTAATGCACAAGTTAGGCCCTTCTCATCTGGCCCAGGGAGCGGAGGCTGAGAACCTCTCCACCACTGGGTACCGGCACGGCTGCTCACGGCATTCTCCCGCAGGTGTGAAGCTATAGAGTCTGGATCCCTGAGAGCTTGCTCTCCCAAGCTGTGCTGCCCGAGCATCCTGGGACGATCCCAAACATGCACACCGAACCCAGTTCTCAGGCTGTGCTTTTTATTGTAGACCAACTGAAGTAAGCGCTTTAGGCATCTCCTCCGACCCCCATTATTTCCTGCACAGCAGTCTGTTTTTGCCTCCAGGCAGAAGGCAGATAAACCACAGAGGAGAAACAGTGTAGGCTGAGAAGCGACCCATCGTCAGCTTTCCAAGCTTACCCGGCACTTCCACACAGCATACACAGCTATGCTGTCCCTAAGGAGAATGTTTCTTCTGAACATCTGAGATTCTGATCTAAGTCGTGACTGGGATGACCAGGAGCCAGGATTCTCAGCCCAGGCAGTCCCATGGGTAAAGAAGGATGGAGTGAGTTGCGAGGGCCTCTCAGGCTGCAGAGGTGTAACCCACCGGCCACACTGCTGCCCTGGCCGGGGCTCTCTTGTCCCCTCTTCTCTCCTGCACAACAGCATTCATGACCCTGCAGCCCAGTGCAATGCTGGATGCAGCGTCCAAGCCTGTGGCTGTCATGCCTGGCTGTACAGCAGACCCGAGGTCCTCGCCCGCCCGGGTCAGGGCTCCGTGGTGTGGCAGAGCGCATGCCAGTGCCTCACCAGCCCCTTGGGTTTGCTAAGCATCTCGTTCCAGTGCTCCAGCTCTTTGCCGCGGGTGTACATGTAGGGGCCCACCACCAGCCGGCCCAGCTCGTGGCTCTCTGTGGGGGAGGGAGAACACTGTCACTCTCTGGAGCACAGAAGCCACATCATCTCAGCGGTTCCCAGTACCTTCCCTCCCTCTCTCACTCACTCCTCCCCTCAAAGGAAGTAGCCAGCCCCTCCCTGTTTAATCGCAAGCTGATGGCCTCTAAAGAGAGCCTGACTTTGCTCTGGAACTGCAGCTGGTGGGGGAAAGGAGCCCGGGTGGACAGCCTGCCCCCACCTCCCTGTGGGCCATCAAATCAGCCTCACATGAAAGAAAGGGGCCCCTCCAGAATGAAGTCGGCTTCCATCAGCCCACCAGTACATTCAGAGGGAATATTCAACAATAATTTTCACCCACCAACACACCATGGAGAAGGGTCTTAAGCTCTGGCTCATAAGACTAGCTGGCCAGACAGCTGTGTCTCAGTGACAGTGGACGCTGGGTGGGGGGGGCAGTTGGGGAGGGCTGGCTGTGATAACTCCACCCCCTCATCCACCCTGAACCTTGCCCAGGACCCTCAAGGCCATTACAGAAGGCACAAGGCAACACAGGGCACATAATGACCCGTTGTACCAGGTCACTTGGCTGGTGGCAGGTAGCCATGTTGCCCCTCGACCACTCTGGTGACTTGCCCCAGGAGCGGGTAGCAGAGGCCATGTTTAACCTCTTTCTTGGGGGCCACGGACAGTCAAACTGGAATAAAGCTGGGTGGGAATCGCAGCTCTCTCACGAGCAAGCTCTGTGTCCTCAAGCATCTCAGCCTCTCTGAGTGCTAGTTTCCTTGGGTGGACCACAGAAACCCAACTGCTCCTTCCAAAGGTTCCGCGCCTCCTGAATGCACAACAGCCCCTCCTCAGCCCACTGTCCCTCCCAGCCCGGGGTTGGGGGAGCAGCCTTACTGTCCCCTTCCATGCTCTGCAGCACTGTCAGCCTGAGGCTGGCCGTGTCCAGCTCGGTGGGGTCGGCCCTGAAGCTGAAGGTCTCGTTGTACACAGGGTCCGCAGAGCCCAGCACGGCCGAAGTCTTCTTGCACTTGACAAACTTGTTGTGGTTGATCAGAGACACTCTGACAAACATACCTGAGGGGCAGAGCAGACTGCGGGCTGGGAGGGGCATTCAGGGGCCAGGACTCCAGCCTGTGAGAGGTCCGGCTCGGGGAGGAGGGACACCTGCCCAGCCTGGGCGCCAGGACCCCATTACTCACAGCCACCGCAGCCAAAGGGCATTCCAAGAGGAAACGGGGTTGATTAGTGAACTGCCTTAAAGCCGAGGAAATGCTCAGCACCCTTCTGCTTCCTTCCTTTCTGCCTCCTGAACGTATCTGCGGCTCTGCTGGCCCTTGGTACTGGAGCCTGGCACCACTCGCCCATCCCTCCCCATTGTGGGACAGGAGGTAGGCACAGGTGGGGAGGGTCCTGCCTGCTCGGTGCTCAGGCCTCCTTGCGTCCCTTAAACACCTTCTCCTTCAGAGGCCAAGTTTTTGGGGAGGGGAGCTTAAATGGGTTTTGGATCCACACTGGAAGGTTGAATGTCAGCTTGCTCACAGTGATCCAGCTGCAGAGAGCACAGGGGACCGATGACCACCACCTTGCTGGGGACCCTGTGGGGGCGAGGCATGTGGGGAGAGCAAGACCAGGGCCTCCGCTCCTCCAGCTCCCAGGTTCCAATGTCAAGTTTGTGTCAGTTTACCCCATGCCCCCAGCGCAGGGAGGCCTCGCCTCACCCCTCCCCACCCGTCCCCACCCCTCCCGGAGGAATCAGAACCTTCACAGAAGGGAAGGGGTGGAGGGAGGGAGCAGAGTTCAAGGAGCCCTTGAACTGCCCTGGGAAAGGGGAGGAGCAGACTTGGTTTCCAGGGTCATAGGGGTCTTGGTGGAGGCCAAGGGGATACTGCCTTGGGCTCAACATAAGGAAGCAGCTTCTCACACCACAACTGCAGGGAGGCAGGTAGTGATGCTCTCAGCAGCCAGATGCAAGAAGAAACTGGATGGCGGGGCGGGGTGCGGCGGAGGAAGGGGAGGCCCAGACTCCAGCTCCCAGTCCCAAGCTCCCTGGCTGGCCTTGCCCCAGGAGGAAGACTTACTGACAAAACTGGCATCCTCCTGGAGCCAGAGGCCCTTGGCTCGCAGCACAACCACCGTGAGGCAGTTCAGGCAGTCATTGTAGCTGAGGCAGAACTGGAGGTCGCCAAACTCGGAGGGAGGCTGGGGAGGTCAGGAAGAAAGTACCCTGTAGTAAGGGCCAGAGCTGAAGATTTGAACCCAGGTCTGGGGGATTCCCAGGCCTATTCTGAGGAGCCCCAGTCCTTTCTGGGGGTTGGGGGAAGAGTGGGTATTTCCCTTGGCTGGTCCATTTGGTGGGGGGACCCCTTTCACAGCTGTCTGATCTGCATGGGAATCCAAACATGGGTTTTTTGGGGAATGCTTCAGGTAATCTGATCTCCAGGGCAAAAGAGCCTCAGGCTCCCCCCTTGCCCAGGCAGGGCTCCACGCACCCCCCACCCTCGTCCCATGCAGCTCCAGCCCTAGGCCCACCATCCAAAGTCACACTTGTAGGGGTGGCAGGCAGTACGCTGGGGGCTGACGCTAGCCAGCAGGTGCAGGGCCATACCAGCTGGCTGCCCATGGTAATCTGACACACATGATGGCATTGTGTGGTGACCTTGACCTTTACCTCCAGGCTCTCGGCCTCCAGGTCTCTCCAGATGATGCACTGGCCGTCTCTCTCCAGGATCTCCTTCAGGGGAAACAGCACCTGACCCAGGAGCTGGTGCTTCCTCTGCCTGTCTACGTGGTACACCAAGAACCTCACCACTCTCTGGGTGACGCTCTTGCTGGACACCTGGGATACATGAGGACCGGGCTAGGGTCAGGCGTGAGGTCAGGGGGTGGTGTGACATGTTGTTCTGGACACAGGATCTTTCTGTGAAGAGTGTCTCAACCAGGGACCTACACACCCCAAACCCAGGCATCTTCAGGGGACCCTTTGCAGCACTGGGGACAGTATCCCCAAGGAATGTGGTCCAAGGACCAGCAGCACCCACCATCCCCTGGACCTTGTTAGAAATGCAAGACCTTGGCCTTTACCCAGATTCATGAAGCAGAATCTACCAGAATTTAACAGGACATCCAAGTGATTTGCTGACACATAAAAGTGTGAGGGGCCTCTGCACTGGCAGATGGTTAACTAATACTGATTTTCTTCTCTTCCTCGTCTCCTTCCCCTTCCCCCTTAAAGCACAAAGAGGCTGGATCAAGTTGGTGTGGGGACAGGGTGGGAAGTGACGGGTGAAGAAAAGTGAGTGTGTGAGCATGACCATGCTGGTCAGCAAGTCTTCTGCTTTGGACCTTGCTGTCCCGAGAGGAGCAGGTTCACCTGTGAATCCTCACGGCCTCAACCCCAGCAGGACGGCCGGGGGCTGGGCCCCGTGCCACCCCTCTTCTCAGCTCTCAGCCCTGGAAGAAGGCAAAATCACACTCTTCCCAGATGCTACCTGGCCTCTCCTTAGCTTGCCAGCCAGCCCGCTGCCCTGCTCTTAAAAATGTTTGTCCAAGGCCTCTCGGCAGCCCTTGATTGCTGGCTTCCCATAAGGGCCCCAGGCACCTGCTGAGGCTCCCAGGCCGCTGTGAGCTTGGCTCAGTGCCCGGATAGCCTCCGCACCTCCAGGCCCTGAGCCCGCCCGCCTACCTGCTGCAGGATGGCTCTCGGGTCCTGCCCTGCCTCTGATGGGATAGGTGAGGCCTGAGGCTGGTGTCTCACCCTCTGCCTTCCATGAATATATTTGCCAGAAAGCTCATGTGCTCCCAGGCTTTGGCGTGCTTCCCTGGACCCTATGGGCCAGGGGCTGGCATTCAGTGGGTGTTCCAAGAATATGTTTCTCTTTCTTACCTCTGGGCAAGCTGGACAGAAGGAGCCCAGCCCTCTGCCCCTCATCCCTCAGATCTCTCATCTGCCCCTGCCATCAAGGCTAAGGGCTCTTGTACACCCTGACCTGGCAGGCGGGGTAGAGCGAAGCCTGTGGCACGGGGGTCCTGGGGGTCACAGGGCCCTGGCGAGCCTGGGAGACTGGGGCTCTCCTGCACAATGTCTGTTCTTCCCAGGAGGCAGAGGCATCGGACCCTGCCCACTCCAGAGGCCATACCTGGAAAACGAAGTGCTCATCGAACTGTGGGCTGCAGGTTCTGTGTCTGGTCTTGGACTGGAGGAAGCAGCGCTCATCAGGCAGCAGGTGGAGCTTCACCAAGGGGCTACAGGTCTCGGAGGGGGCTTGTAGTCGCTGCGCCTTGATCAGACCCACCAGCAGCCGCTCGGCCTCCTGCTGGTACTCCACGGAGAACCACAGCCACCCCAGGCAGCCCTTGGGGAAGATGGTCTCACTTTTGTCCCCTGGGAACTTGTAGAGCTCTGGGTTGATGGTCCCCACCACGCACACGTCTCCTACAACACAGGGGCTGGGAGGACTGGCGGCCCAGAGGAAGGCAGGGCGGTGGGAGACAGCAAGCTCTGGGCTCCGCTGACCCCTCCTGGCCCAACCTTTCCTTGGCTGAGCCTTGACTAGACAGTTCTCTGGCCTCTCCTGACCACGTTCACGCCACTCGCTTCTCCATACTGAACACAGCCCCTCTCTCTAGTGCAGCGCCCCCAAGAGGCCTTCTCAGCACTAAGGCATTCTACATTCAGGCCTGCTCCCCGCTGGGGCCCCTAACAGAGTCCACAGCATTCATTCAGCCCCTGTCCTGGTGACTGACCGCCATCCCCAGAGGTCAGGGCCTGCAGGGGTGGGATGCACAGTGCCCAGGACCTGGCCTGGCTCCTTTCTGTGGTGTCCAGAGAATGTCTCAGTGATAAAGTGTTGCCTCTTTTCTTCCTCTTCCAGTTAGAAGGGCCTGGTTGATTACTGAGCAGTTGTTCCTGGTAAAGAGGTGGGTAGAAAGCTGTGTGCTCGGCTTCCACAATTCTGCCCTCTGGATTGGCCAACTCATCATCTTGGAGTAGGACCCAGTGCAGGTTCCACACCTGGGAACAGTGGGGTTCCAACCCCAGATCGGTTGCTTACTGCCTCTGTGACCTTGGGCAAGGCACTGTTAACCTTCCGAGCCTCAGTTTATGAATGTGTAAAATGGGGTGATAATCCCTTCCTCCACAGAGGCATAGTGCAGTCCAACTCCAAAATGGCACTTGAAGCCATATCTAGCCCAGGCTGGGGGGCGGCAGGCACTTGGTAAACCCAGGTACCTGGGAAGAGTGGTCACTGGGCAACTCTGGCATCCCTGGGCTCAACCAGGCTCTGTTCTGGAGCCAGGCCCATGAAAGCAGATGGGTCCGCCCTGGGCAGGCTTCGGTGGGCACACTCACCAAGATTGCTGCCGGTGGCGTGGGGCAGGAGCTCCGCGGCTGGGCAGGGGTCCCGTGGAAACTGGGCCCACACTCTGCTGCTCAGGGCCATCCAGTCTTGGCTTTGGAGGGAAGTGGGCACCACGAATAGCATACCTGGTGGCCTGTCCAGAGGCAGTGAGATGACATGTAGGTAGCAAGTGAATGATGTGGCCTCTGAGCACTCAGCCCGGAAGGGTTAACGGCCAGGTGCTGGAGGAGAAAAAGCCAGCAGGAGCCGGGAGAAGGCAAGAGCATCATTTTCTAGGCCCTCACCGGGGGATACACACACACACACACACACACACACACACACACACACAACAACAACACACACACACACACGAGACGCAGTATTACGACCACCTCTCGTCCGTCCGACCCACGACGTCGTTGGTGGGTGGTAGGTTAGGGAAGGAAGGACGCCACCCGTCCTCGTAACGT